CATTCATCCCTTGCAGCGAGCCGTCCCAGACGAGGTGACCTGAAGTCACACAACCAACAGCTCGGGCATACCTGCGTCCGCGCAGTCGCAGCTGCCTATGCGGCCACTTCAACGCGCCACCCCCTGCAACCAGCAAAACAAGCCACTGGGACACCATCCCTCGGCAAATGCAACACACGCTGACTGGACACCACTTGAGCTTGGCCCACGAGCCTACAAAAGCGGCTGCCACCATTATCTCAGAGACTCTCAGGCCTGACTGGACGCAGTCAACACCATCCCTGGCTTCGCCAGTGGCCACTGTCGCCTGAGAGGACAACTCCGGATTCTGTGCACAATAAACCCCTTATTCTGGTCCCCTTTGTCTTCTCCCTTCAAACAGGGAATTTGGCCTGACGATTGTAGCTCGCATGCTGCACATATTCTCTCTGCTGTGCCGCTACAAGCTCATGCACAAAATTCTCCGGTAAAACATTACAATCCAGGCCACTCCACAACATTTCGCTCTACTTGCGTAAACAAACCCACATAAACCTCTGGAACTGAAACTCGTCTCTTCACCTGTATCACCTTGGCTACTTGTGGTCCTACTCGGTTATACACGAATGCATGTTGGTTATCAGCATCACAGCACACAACACTCGTGCAAGACTCATGTGACGATAGTTGTCAATTCCAGTATGGCAGGCGAGATGTCACATGCAAGAATGTGCACACCTCGCTTGCGTGTGAAGCGCGTCCTTTGGTGTGCTGGAGGAACGGGGTTCGTACGTGTGGCATCTGACGGACCGTATTGCTGCTGCCAGTCATTGCGCCAGCGCTCACCTATGTTTCTTTATTTTACCACCGAAGATCCCTAGGCATTGAAGGATAGAGTGCGGTTGGTGTGGCTCATCTCGGGCTCAGTATTAAAAAGTTCCGTGGAATTCGCCGCCGCTAGGCTCACCTAGTAGAACAGTTGTGGACCTCATCGCTCGCGACGATCAAATTAGCAATATTTTTGAGGATTTGCTTTGTCCCTCATATGTCTAGGATTCTGTAACACTTCTTCTTGACACGTCTTAACGGGTTTTTCAGTTCTTCGTTAAAACAACTGCTTCCAGCCTGTTGAAGTGGGCCATGCGGAAGTATTGGAGCGAGAAACTGGTGGATTTGACTGACATAGTTAGGTGCAGAAGGAAGTACTTAGACCTTGAGGCAGGGGATTGAATGTGTGGATGATGCACCCACCACGTAGCCACCAACTCTACTATGCACCCACCGGCGACCATCGGGTAAGTACCCCAACTGAAGAAATGGGGGGGAGCAAGGACGCCTGAAATACGGGAATGGTGGTAATAAAGGTTTGACGAGTGGGGTAAACCTAACTTACAGGTAACTGTTTTCGGGAAGAAAAATAAAAACGTACGTGTAGGCTGTTAGATTGCACAAATACACCAATAAGGCGTAAAATTGCGAGCTCGCGGTTTGAAATATTGACAACTAGGGGATTAAAAATGGAAAAAAAATGAAAGCCGAGGGCTTTGACTAGGTAGTTCGGGCGATCCGATCACATCCCTTTAAGACCAGTCACAGTTAAGGAGAAAGCATGGAGAAAATATCGTCCAATTCGACTCTCGTGATGTTTGCGACTGAAGATACAACTGAATTTGACAAGGTTGGCAGCTTAACAGCTGAATCTAAAACTCAATTTAGGCCTATAGCTGGCCCTTATGCCAACCTCTAACCCTAACCCATGACCTCTAACTCTAATCCAGGCCTAACCCTAAGACAAACACCAACCCTAAAGGTGGCAAGTGGGGAAGGCGTAAAGGAAAATGAGTGAAAGTTAAGGGGTTTAAAGTAAGCTCACACAAAATGACATAATTACGTATTTTTTAGAAGTAAGGACTAATTGAGGCCACATACTTGATCCTCACCCGCCCGCCCAAGGGACATTTTACTGCTATAAATTCGAGCTGCAAGTCATTTATATTGTCGCGGGAACTATTTTGGTGTCTAGATAAAAAAGTTCACTAGGTTGCCCTTCTTATTTATCTGCTCCATGTATGGTTGCATTCATACGGTCACAGATTAACTCGAAAATCGAATATACCCCACCATTGGCGGTAAAATTTTCCATTGGATGAGATGAAATATTTGGCGTGGGGACTTCGATCAAATGAAGGCCGAAATCAACAATACGGACTGGGAATCAGCGTTTTCCGGAAATATAGAGGAGGATTGGAAATGGTTCAGTGAATTATTGCATGCTCTCCTGACAAACCACTGCCC